TATCTGTGTGTGTGCATATAAAACTGTATATGTGTGTGTGTGTGTATTCGTATATATGTTTGTATGTGTTAACTTATGCGTTTGTGTGTGTTTCCATACATCTACTTTCTTGCCACTGAGTGGCAGCGTTAAGCTGCATTGCCATTTTGACAGCTTTGACGTTGGCAAACAAACACATGCCAATGTCTCGTGACACACTTACACATATGTAAGAAATATATATGTATACTATATATTAATTTACATATAGCTTAGCGCAGATTTTAGCTAGCCAACAACAACAGCAATGTGTTATATTTATTTGCCTTTTAGCTGGCTGACGCGCCAAGTGGCTGTTAATGCATACATGCGCAAGTACAAGTATATAGTTGATTGTGTGCGTGTGTTCAGTTGCGCATTTTAGTGCCGCTCGGTCTGCGCAAATTTCCAACACATCCATTTATGTACTCATACATTTACGCTTGCCTGAGCTGCTTAAAGTAATTAACTAGGGAAATTTTAATTGCTAATATGTGCTGTGTTGTGGGCGTGTGTGTGCGCATGTGTGCATGCAAACTCATACACATACAGGCATACATAACGAGCTCAGCTCGTTAGCCGGCTTGTGGCTTTCCGCTACTTTGTGAGCTGTATGACCTCAGTGTTATAATTTTTCACATTCACACACACACATGCACATACAAGCACGTATACATGTATAAGCATGCAAACACATATGCATACATACACTCATATGTACGTGGTATCCTGCTCGCAACCTGTTCCTGACCCAACAATAAAAAAGTAATATTAAAATATGGCATATGTCGCTCTTATGCGTATGTATGTGTACGTGTTGTTAATGTAAATTAACTTGTTTTATTTAAAATTGTTAATTAGAGGAATATTCATATTATTTCACGCACACACACACACAACACGATATTGCTCTTACAAACACATAAATAAATATATTTTTCAAAACGCCTTATTCGCTTTTTACACTTTTTCACATGCAACCGTGCATGGTACACACACACACAACACGATATTGCTCTTACAAACACATAAATAAATATATTTTTCAAAACGCCTTATTCGCTTTTTACACTTTTTCACATGCAACCGTGCATGGTAGTGTTATATTTTCACTTGTTTGTGCCATGCAACTCTGTGTTTGTTTATGCATTTTAATTAGAGGAAATAAATATTGAAATAATAAGGCTTTGTGCGCTTCATTTTTATGAAAATGTGTGTGAAGTTTTTCAAAGCGTTCGAAAAAGATGTGTTATCGCGGTGGTTATATACTGCTTGAATGAAAAAAATCAAAAAATTTGGTGAGAAAGGAGAGAATTCTGCTTTATATACATATAAACCAAATCGTTATGCTTATTCGGCCAACGTTGGCTCGCAATGAAAAGTCAAGCAGCTCTTTGATCCCTACGAAGTCAGCAATTGTCAAAAAAGAGCAGTTTATAAAAAGCACTGTATGAGACAATAAGACGTTTCAAAGACTAGGAGAACCCCTTTGTATGTTGTCTATCACTTCTGCTTTATGAAGATCACGACCAGTTTAAATCGAATGGGCAACAGCCGACATAAAAATTTACTAGAAACTGCAAGAGGTGCTTGCAGGTGAAATCTATTTTTTACAAGATTTTGTATGCTAAAAAAATATCTCCGGGATTCATACCGAAAGTGTTAAAAAGGCAGCAGATATTTCGGAGAGTTCAATATCTACTCACTTGCCATCTAATACAAGCTACCAGATGCTTTCAATTTATAACTTCAAGCTTTTAGAGGACGTGGAATACATAACTAATAAGAGAAGGTAACAATTGATCATGAAGCAGCGCTACAGTGGTGGTCAACCATTGTTGTAAGTATTGTTGTGACTGACTACATTATTGACGAATAATTTTGAAAAATACTATACTTATAGTTATGTAGACGCAATTGTCGTGAGAACGGTCATCCGATGTAAGCACCATGGCCGCATACCGGTTTGTTTTATAATTAAACCAAGGAAAACTTCAGTTAAGAATAATGAGGATAAGCTTAACTGAAATAGGAATCTGCTAAAATGTCAGCTGTGCTACTGCTGCCGGTATCGTGACTCTGAAGTAAGCAAAGAAATAAAAATCAAGGAACTGCTTTGCAATCATTCCTCTTTGAAGCGCATAATACCTAAGCCGGTCTCCTTATAATGCATGGAAATATGGCATCAGCAGAGCCATTTACAAATCGTATTAATTTGGAAAAAACAAGAAAAATACTTATTACCAGATTAAATAGTCTTTAGAGAAAGCACATAATTCTATCCTTTACCACGATTTGTTGTGATCTACTGTAGAAATCGACGTTCAAACAGAATATATACCTACGTTTACACATTGTACCTCGACCGCAAGCGTCAATGAAATCGTGTTTTTTTTCTTCTATCACGTAGGAGAATAGAATGAATCCCAATTTTGAAGCGCTGTTTAGAGAGAGATATTTTCAACACCTCTTCCAAGTAATTTCTTCTCGCGAACTATTTTTTATTACTATTTTTATAGGAATAATTGAAGTTTTCTCATGATATCTTCAATGCGGTTGAGTTTAAAATATTAAATATAGAAAGTTTGAGAAATGTCTGTTCATCTTGACTTGGCTTGAACTTAGCATAAATAGTGTAGCGTGAAAGCGACGGTAACCCGTCATGTCTTAGGCAAATCATATCTTATGGATTGTAATAGAATATCTAAAATAGATTTAGAACTTTATCAGAGAGGCTTCACTGGTGATTTTCATGTTCAGAGAATCCTAACGACCTTTAAATTATTATGAAATAACTAAGATTAAGTTGATGAGCTTGCAAGGCAATTCAGCCTCGTTAACAGTACAATGGAAATAGGTCGGAGCTCTGCTGCCTTCATATATTTTAACTGGTCCTCACGTCAACTTGGCAAGCGCTGGGAAACTACTAGTGCTTGTGCAGTCCCAAAATCCTTCAGGCCCAAAATAATTCGTAAGAGGTTTACTAGCCTCTTCGCAGGGTTAGCCTTTACCTCCTTATAGGGACTTTAACTGTGCATTGCCCAATTGGTCTTCACGCGGTTAGGTTAAAAATCCTACTTGAAGCCTGTATAGAAGTTATAGAAACAACTCTTCCTTCTTGACTGTTCCGATCTTTACGAGATAAAGGCTAAAACAGCTCGAAACTCAAATTCTCAAATATCCAGTTGAGCTAGCTGGCCTAACACCTAAACCTATTTATGGTGGATTCAAGAACAGCTGAGATGTAATTATTGGACTTTTTGTGGGCTCCTAAAGCGATGTATATACATATATAGCAGTTCAAGTGTGATCTTCATCATAGAAATCTGCCATAGGACGAAATCTAACCTATGGTTAAGCCTAAATTCTATTTTACTACTAATTCTACGAATAGAAAACAGTTTAAAGCAACAATTGAAAAAAAATAACACAAAAATCAACAGTAAAGTCAAGGAAGTCAACGAAAAGGGGTCGATCATATTGCAACAACAATAAGTTTGAGTAAAGAAAACACTAAGTGGTTGCAGTTCGTGCAATATAAGTACACTCCAGGCATGGGAACGTAATTCGATATGCAAAAGAATGCACTAGCAACAGTTGCAACACATGCAACATGGCGTCTCGAACGCTATAAAACTCACTTTAGTGAACCCCACACGCGGGCATGTTTTATGTGGAAATCTTTTCGCTTCGTTTTTGCTCGCATTGCGTATCAAATTACAAATTAAACAAAACTCTAAAATCACGCAGAAGCAGATACATGCGTGAGACAAAACAACGTAATGATTTGCGTTTATCGTGTATTGGCGCAAAATTAAACGGTGCTTTAGTCAACTACTTCAATTGACTAAGTAGCATTTGTGGCGAATTACTGCAGGCTTTTGATCATAAGCACAGATTTTTTCAAGCTGCCATTGCATAAGCTGCAGTGTTGCATGTAGGCCAAGTGCTGTTGCGAAAAGTTTATACAAGTGTATAACGGAATATATTTGTCTGTGTATTTGTATGACAACTCTGATTGTGTGCAGCTTGTAAAGTGGGTATTAATTGTCAACGCGCCGCGATTTGACAGGCGCATTGACAGCCTGGCGGCGGCGGTTACTCCATTATCTACGCTAACTTCGCCGGCGGAGTCTTCAATAACTTCTTTTACACTTAAAAAAGTATATAGTAGTTGTGTATGTTTTCGAAACTCTTCGTGATATTCTGGGAATCTTCGAAGGTCTTTCATTTGAAAGATGTCAATTGAAAATGATGAGTTTTTGACAGTTCTGAGTGACGTTTTAGGCGGCTACTTATCGTTTTTGCGCATTTAAATTTTATATATATGTATATTCCTTAAGTGGATATATTTTAGTTAAATGTAGAACTTAGACAGTCAATGGAACTCGTTTGCTTATACTCTTCTATACTTGAACAAAGTCCTTCTAGGACGAAAGATTCTTTCTGATATTCAAAGGATTAATAGGCGCGTTCTTACATAAAATTTTTGTTTAGCAGCTGGAAATTGAAAGCCTGCCCTTTATAAGAAACTTGAGCTAAATAACTAACTAAATAAGGTCTTAGTATTTCGTACTAACTTCTGAAGAAGAAATACGTTCGGTATTCAATACTGTGAACGCAGTCAAAATCGGCTTGGCTTTTTAAACAAGTCTTTATGACCTGGATTCATGACTCGTTCAGAGCTCTATTAGACTAGTAAATTGTCTATTCTAAGAAAAGAAAGAATAAAGACAAAGAGTATGATAGTGAATGCCGCTTAGGCCCTCCGGCTGCTTATGATAGTCTTCTTTTGGTTAAGCTTAACGAAGTTTTGATGAATTCTTGGAATAATTTTCTAAAATTTGAAGCTTGCGACTATTGCTTATTACATACGTATGGTTCTTATATCAAATTTTTCCTTCATTTCTCATCATATCATATTTTTTTCCTTCCCTACTTGTATTACTCACTATTAACTCATTTATAATATTTATTTTCAGGTCCTTTGTCCAGCAAGGATTTCACACTTGATGGTATAAATGGTTTTGGTGGCAAGAAAAAGAAGAAGAAACGTCGACATAGTCGTACGATTTTCACTTCTTATCAATTGGAAAAACTCGAAGAGGCCTTCAAAGAAGCACACTATCCAGATGTGTATGCTCGAGAAATGTTATCGCTAAAAACCGAGTTACCTGAGGATCGGATACAGGTGAGTCAAAAAGATCTTATTATAGTTTATGGTGTAAATATTTTGATATTAGTAAAATTATATATTTTTATAATAGTCGAAGGAAATAATTTTCGAACTTTAATATCTTTGATCTCAAAACTGTTAAAGAGCGAGAGAGAGAGAAAGAGTTGGAGTATGTAGATCTTTCGTTCTACTTCGGAGCTGAATTCGAGATGCTAGCAGGCTTCTTCATAATGCCTAAACCTTTCTTTTTTTGATTCATGATTATTGGGAGTTACTTAGAAGATTTTGCGATTATTTCTGAGTTATCTTCAGCAACACAAAACTCAATGTGAAGTAATCTGGTCTGATCAAGAGGGGGGAGATCGGGGACAATTCCGCCCAAGCCCGAAGTTCTCAGGGGGTTTGGTGTCTGCAAATATTTTTTCTCCAACAATTCACTACACTTATCACCGGGTCGCGGTTTTCTATCTACGGGAATAATTTTCTGGTCTGACCAACCTTAAAACGCACAAAAAAGATTTAAAACTTCATATGTGACAAGGGCTCTGGAATTACTGGTTTAGCTTTTCTGATAGTCTCTTTCATAGCAAAAGCCCGAGTGTTACCAATCACTTCGAGGTATTATTTGTCCGTTCCCACGACAGTCGCGTTTACGTAACCGCAACGGACGCTGATTTTTATCCGCCCAAGGTCTGTCAACTCGGCAGAACTCTGTCGCTACAACAACAACATGTATTATTTATAGAAACTTAGTTTTTCGTGATCATTCTGCTGTACAAATATTGGTTTTATTTATCCTTCTTTCGAAAGTTTTAAGACTAATTGTAGATTTGGCTTAGCCTCATAACGGGTGACAACTGTTAAAAAACTTTGCCACCGAAATCTCCCGAAATCCAGAAAATTGGAACTCTCTGCAAACTTTTTCCCTATACATAGATACAAAAATTCTTTCTTCTTCATAATGAATAATGGTAATTTGACACTTTTGGTGGTAAACAAACTACAACTTAGACTAATTTGCTTTTAGAACAATGGAAGCTTCTGCACAAAACTGAGAGCAACATTCTGCGTGTAGATATTTTTGCTTACAGGTGTGAATAGGATTCCTTTCGGCTGCACATCCTTTTGTTCGTATTCATATCAACTGATTTTTTATCTTTCTCTTTATTTCATTTTGTTCTTTTTTTCTTGTTTTTTTTTTGTCTGATCCTTTCCTTCTTTTTGCACTTCCCTTCTATGCTGAGTGAATTTAAAAAATTTTTGTTTTCGTCCTTTTACTTTGTCACTAAACGTTTGCTGAAATTTTGAAGCTTCGCTTGTTTGGATATTTCATAGCTGATCTTTCACACCTCCTTTCGACATCCTGTGGCCATTGCAGAAATGCATTGTACTTTCAAGAGTATTATAAATTTTTTATTTTTACTAATATCATTTTGATTGCATGCAGTAGCTCGTAATTTTTCGACTGCCCCTTAGCTGAGTGCTCGCTTTCACACCCCAATTCAGTTGGATATTTGCATTTGTTGTGATATTACGTTCCTGCAACGGTGTGCGCAGTTGGCTAAATAAAAGTGTGTGGCCTAATGGACGATTTTGCAAGTGCAAATATTGAGTGTTCATGTTTGGTGTCATAACAAAATATTGATTTAAATATAATTTTAAAGTTTTCATTGTGAATAAAAGTGAGTAGTAAAGTCAACTAAATATATTTGTGATGTCCGGATGCTATTACATTTTATATTTTCTTTTGTATAAAAATTTTTTTTATTATTATTTTTTTAATATATATACAGTGAACGATTCCCGAATTCGCGTCACGACGAGTTCTAACTCGCTAGTTCGCGTATATAAAGGCGGACATGGCTAAATCGACACAGTCCTTCAAGCTAATAATTTATATACATATTTTAGAGGGTATTCGGTGTTTCTTTCTGGGCATTACAAACTTCATATAGTCGCTTCAGGGTATAATGAGATTGCAAAGCTATGGGGAAGTTGGGACGTGCCCTAGAAAGTAGCAGGCTATTAATTTGAATTTTATTTTATACACACAATTTGTACATCAATACATCAGTATTTCTTGACTACAACGAACTTCAAATTATATTCTTTATACCTGTCGAAAGACATGAAAACAAATTTGTACTTATAAAAGCAGCTTCAAATGTTGCTCATGGTTCAAGAACTCTGCGAAATCAGCGTAGTTCACGTAGATCAAGTTTTCAAGCATTCTAAATATCTTTAGAAATCCGACAACCTAACAAAGTTTTTTTTTTCTTTGGTCGCAATTTTTAGTGGATTAATATGGAATATTTGAAAGCAATTTGTAGAATCTGGAAACTTCCATGTAATAATTGGAGTTTGAGCTCCTGCGCAGCCAGCTGTAGTAAATCTCAATATTACAACTTCTGAAAAGCTTTAATATATCTCTTATTCATAAATCAAAAGACCGTCAGCAAATGCCATTGTATTTTTCCTATCACCATAAGGTCCTTCGATTAGATACGCCATAAATAAGAAAGACGATGTAAAAATTCGTGTGGTGCGTTGCGCGATATTACAACGGGATGGGTAATGACGCTCCGGCGACTAATTGAAGCGTAGCTATAAAATATTTTTATACTCTCGCAACCTGTTGCTACAGAGTATAATAGTTTTGTTCACCTAACGGTTGTTTGTATCACCTAAAACTAATCGAGTTAGATATAGGGTTATATATATATAAATGATCAGGATGAAGAGACGAGTTGAAATGCAGGTGACTGTTTGTCCGTCCGTCCGTCCGTCCGTCCGTGCAAGCTGTAACTTGAGTAAAAATTGAGAATCTTTATGAAACTTGGTAGACATGTTTCTTGGTACCGTTAGACGGTTGGTATTGCAAATGGGCGTAATCGGACCACTGCCACGCCCACAAAACGCCATTAATCAAAAACAAATAAATTGCCATAACTAAGCTCCGCAATAAGATACAAGACTGTTATTTGGTACACAGGATCACATTAGGGAGGGGCATCTGCAGTTTTTTTTAAAAAGTGGGCGTGGTCCTGCCTCTAATAGGTTTAATGTGCATATCTCCTAAACCGCTAATGCTATAATAACAAAATTCACTGGAAGCAAATGTTTTTAGCACTTCTATTGACGGTGTGAAAGTAGTTGAAATCGGGTGGCCACTCCGCCCACTCCCCATATAACGGTACTGTTAAAAACTACTAAAGCGCGATAAATCAAGCACTAAACACGCCAGAGACATTAAATTTTATCTCTGGGATGTTATGAGATGACTTTATAGGAACCGCGTTCAAAATTAGACAGTGGGCGTGGCACCGCCCCCTTTTAGGTGAAAACCCATATCTGCTTAACCGATTTCAACCAAATTCGGTGCATAACGTTCTTTTCATATTTCTATGTCATAGTGCTAAAATAGGCGAAATCGGACTACAACCACGCCTATTTCCTATATAACACCATTTTCAATTCCATCTGATTCTGTCACTTTCCACTATGCATATCAAGCAACAATGATTGTATCGGGGTAAAACTTTGCGTGAATAATGCGTTTGAAGTATGCCACCTTGTGACCAAAAATTGTCTAAATCGAGTCAAAACTGTTCAAGCCCCTAGGTAATGAATATGTGGACCCCAGTGCCTATAGCTGACTTTTTACCGAAAATATCGGTCAACGTAGAACTAGGCGGCAAGATCCACAAAGAAATCTAAAACGAGTATACCATTTGACTTTGCGAGAGTATAAAATGTTCGGTTACATCCGAACTTAGCTCTTCCTTACTTGTTTGGATTTACTTTTTTTAAAGGATTCTTTAATGTCGTTTTGTGCGCTTGAAAAGAGGTATTTTAAATGATTTGAGAACCTCTAGGCAATGTATGTCGATCTGAAGCTCTTCAGAACTGAACGGATAATCGTCTTCGCATTCAGTTTAGATAGTTCCGTGTGCTTAGACCTTATTCACAAATTTAAAACTTAGAAAAGGAAGATATTTTTTTAATATCAATCTGAAGTTCTTCAAAACTTAAGGGCATTGTGGTCTTTACATTCTGTTTAAATAGTCGAGTGTGTAGACCTTAATAGTTCCTTAGCGAAGGAAGAGTTTTTTCTAACTGCTTGTCGCCATGAGCTGGATTTTGAAATGATTCTCCATTGAGCTGTTTGGATTGTTCTGCTTATTGCAACATCTAGAACGAAGTAAGATAGAGTTAATATAATAATAGATTTGAGTGCGGAGCTTCTGTTTCTAAGTCTATGATAAAAGTTAGCAAGATAAGAATCTATATAATCAGCTATTTTTCCAAGCAATGGTTGGAAAGCCATACCCACTCAACTCCACAGCTAAAGCTTACTTTTTAATATTTAGTCGGTTGGTTAGTGCAAAGAGACCGAAAATCGGTCAAAGAAATTTTTGACATCATATTACCGCATCCCTAAGTGGATCAGATCACATAGATTAATTTTTTTTTTTTTTTGTTTTTTGCAGTAGAGTGTTGAACTCTTAGTGTTGCTTAAGTTTTTTCTACAGATACATTTTTAGAGTTGCAACTCACACCCAAATTTACATATGTACATACATTCTCTTGTTCTCGTTTAGGGGTGTGTCCTGTAATTAAGGTCGCTTAAGTATACTACGCATACACACCAGTTGCACATAACTACATTCATGCTCGTGGTAACAATGGGATCAGCTGCAGGCCTCTACCTACTTCAAATATATATTTGCAAGCATTTACATATGCATGCACACTCATATCAAGATTTGTGTGCCCTCACTGTCTCGCTTGCAACGATATGCATAAAATTCCGCCCATTTTTAATAGGCAATTTCACAGCCATTGAAGCATCTTGAGCACAAAAAATATCCGAGCTGCAGCCACTTAATGTGAGTGAGTAGGTGTGTCAAAGTAAGAGAGAGTGAGAGTGAGAGGGAGAAAAAAGCGGTGTACCTATAAATTAAGCATATAGAACAAAAGGCTGGGGAAGGAGATAAATATTATTGCCGTGTGCG